GTCAGTGTATATACAACATATCTATACTTATCCACAAATTATCTACAATTTTGATACACATATACTACAACTTTCAAGCCATCATTATCCAGTATTATTTACCATTTTTAAATATAAAACAGAGCATGTTGAAGGTGCAGTTGGTCAAGAAAATCTTCCAGCACATGGTGATTTATATACACATTTTTAAGTTGCAGCTGATGAAGACAAAGCAGGTATCATACTGTCATTCAGAGATATTTTCTTGTTGTTTATAAATTTTAACATTCTTGTTAAGTAAGATATGAATTGTGTTACAGTGATAGAAGATATCAATGCACAGTCCCCAATTCACGAAGTGACAGTAGCAACTCAGACAGAACATGTCATTGAGAAACATGACAATGAAGGTGCAGATGCACAGTATGTGGATCTAGGTGATTCAGAAGGATCAGGAGTTGAGAAGAAGGGGGTCACACTAGATGATTTTGAGTTGCTTGACAACTTATCCCAGTTGGTTAAGTTTGGCGAGCTCATACAAGATGATGCAACACCTATGCATCCGGGGAGAACAAGGCATCCGGGAAAGCATGTCAGATCACCATTTATCCCTCTATACAGTTCTGGAGGCAGCAGCTCGGTTGGACCTAAAAATTTCTACCTCAAGCACCCTTTTACTACTATTATTGGTGAAGATGTAGATCCGGAGGTTTTAGATAACTTCAACAAGTGGTTATACCACTATAGCGACAAAGGTTCAAAGAGGTATGGATGCATAATTTGACACTTGTATTTCAGCATTTATCTTTTACATATCTAATTCAATCTACAATTTTTTTTGACATTTATTTGTTGTTACAGGAGGAAGGCTCCGTTTTCCATAAAGGATAACCAAATTAAGCCTTGGTTAGACCTTGGAGTGGAAAAGGTTGATAAGAAGGAATGGTTCTTTTCCCTGGCTCACCCCGGACAAGTCCTCAATGACTCGGTAAGTATCAAGGAGTCTATTCCCAAGATTTAATTTGTAGATATTTTGTCTTCTATTTTGTAGTTTAATTGAAGTTATGTTATAGATATCTATAATATATGAAGATGACTTGTAGTATAAATTGTAGATATGATGTAGATATGATTGTAACTGCTGTCTTTTTTGTATCTAGTGTAATTGTATTTAGGTTTCAGATTATGTATCATATTTGAAGATTATTTATAGTATAAATTCTATATATATTTTGTGGACAGAATAGTTTGTTGTTGTATTTCCTGTTTGTAGTGTAATTGTAGTTATTTTGTAGTTTATGTAGAACATTACAAGATTAATTATAGTATAAAATGTAGATATAATGTAGACATGATTGTAGATGCTGTGTTACATGTTTGCCCAGTAACTGTAGATAAATTGTAGTTATTTTTAGATTATTTAAAGTTGACTTTGTAGTTTAAATTGTAGAGCTATTTTTAGACATCATTGTAGATTTTTTATTTCTGTTTTGTAGTAAATTGTAGTTATAATGTAGTTTTATGTAGATTATTTAAAGTTGACTTGCTGTTTATATGCCAACTATATTTGGTTGCAGCACATTGATATTTTAATGTATTACTTGAGGAAAAGAGGCAAGTATGACCCCAATAACAAGACCAGGTTTACCACAACGGATTGTTTGTTCAAGACCAGGATAGAACAAATTTATGAAAAGTTCATAAATTCACCTCTACAAAAGAAGTATTCGGTTGTTAAACCCCAAGATGTTGTTGTAGAATATATTTTGGGGCATAGACTACTTGCCAATGTTGCATGGGATGAAGTTGACTATGTCATCATACCCGTCAATATTGTAGAAAAATTCAATTGGGTGTTGGTCATTTTCGACATTGCAGACAGGCAACTTTATGCGTATGATTCCATGGTCTCTTCATGCAACCATCAAGTTGTTGAATCCTGTGTCGAAAAGTTTTCTGTTATTATCCCTTTGTATTTGTCATGCACTGGCTTTTATGGGAAGCGTAAAGACATTAACTTCAAGAATACAAAGGCATACATCGAGAAACCTGTTATCGACCCTCTTAACATTCAGTGGATCGTTGGAGAGATTCCACAGCAAAAAGAAGGGTCACTGTAAAAAATCTATTCTCTCTTTCTATGCATTTAATTCTTTTTTTGTTTCTAATCATTTGGTAAATATTTATAAAATTTTGTGTTCTGCAGCGATTGTGGTGTATTTGTTGCTGCCTTTGCGGAGTATGTTAGCCTTGGAGATTTGTCAATTCCCGCAGAAGACCTTTCTGATATTGACCAACATCGTAGACGCTATGGAGCGCTCCTATGGGACTATGCTACAAAGAAGCAGGAAAATGGGTCAATCAGTGAAAGTGAGGTTACACGGATACTAGCAAGGAGGAAGGGTGCACCTGCATTGAATGAGAAAACAAGAGCCCAGAGAAAGAAGAAGTAGTGTCATGTATATGTAATTTAGTTGATGCTAGTTTGTAAGAGAAGTATAGCACACAACTTTATGAACAATTCATTTATGTTTTTATTGTAGCAGACCTTTTGTTTTGTTAATTTCTATCCAGTGTAGTAGTTCACTTGAAAATAACTTGGTGGTTTTATCTCCAGTTGTTTAATATTTACAGCACTTGTTCTTCATTATCTTAAATGTAGTTATTATGTTGTTAGAATACAATTTATCTACAAAAAAATTTCAAATTATCTACAATCTAGAAACACTGAATTTTGAGATTGTATATAATTTTATAGTTGAATATGTATATAATTTGTAGGGAATACCTCCAGTTGTATTTAATTTCTGTATATAACTGTCAGTTCAAGTTAAATTAATTTTTTTAACTTGTAGTTATATTGTAGATAATAAATATTAACTGTTATGTACAGAATGTCAAAAAATGGAGGTAGATGCTTGACACAATACAGAAAAATATGTTAACAAACACAGAAACAAATTGAAATTAACTACATTATGATCTTTAAAAACTTAAACGATTACACACAAAATTCTGTTAACTTGAACACACTAACAATTATTTTGAAATACTATTCTAACTACATGATATTTATTTCTTTTTAGGCGCATTCTTGCAAGATCTTTTGTTATGCCCTTCACCTCCACAGTTGTCACATGATACCTTGTACTTCTTTGACTTTAGTTCATCATATGTTTTGTATCTTTCCTTTTGAGGTCTTCCTGGCTGCCTTTTCTCTCCCGTAGGTGGATTTACTACTTCATCAAATATATGTTGTGACACATTCCATTTACTTTCATCAGGAAGGGGATTTACTGGTATTTCATACATATGCAGTAGGCTCTCCTTTGTGTAATACGGAGAGCAATAGTTTTCATAAGTTTCATTCCTGTGCCTTAAAGTTGCCAAAGCATGCGCACATGGAAGTTCATCAAGTTGGAACTTGCCACAACTACATTTCTTGCTTTCAAGGCACACAATGTACCGCTTCACACCATCTATCACAGTATGGATATGATCTGTTGAAGCACTCACCTATAATTACAAAACAATCAGAAAGAAAAATATTTACAATCATAAAAATAGATTATCCACAATTTATCTACAACTTATCTACAATTTATCTATAAATTATCTACAATCTACAAATTAACTACAATTTGTCTACAAATTAACTACAATTTGTCTACAATTTATCTACAATCTGCAAATACTGTTTATTAAAATATTATTTTTCTGCACCAAATAAACAGATCTTACCCTAAGTTTCTGAGATAACGTTCTGTTGTTCTCCAATTCTTTGTTGAATTTGGACCCAAGGAATGTGAAAGTACCCTTTGCCTTCAATAACTTCTCGTTCGTCCAACGTTCAAGAAGTGTCCTCATATACTCTAATAGGTCAAATATTGACAGCTCTCTTGCATATTTTGTTACAGCATTCAACGACTCTGTAATGTTTGATGTCATAGTCCAAGTTCTATTCACCGTTGCATGTACTCTTGACCATCTATGATAGCCAATATCATAGAGGTATGATTTAACACGCGGGTCTATCTCTTCAATCTTCGACATCCATTCATTAAATTCATCTAGAGTGTATGACCGTGCTGTAGCAAAGTACAATTCATTTAATTTTAGATGACCCTTCTTCAACTTTGCCCTTATATTTGTCCAAATATGCCACATGCAAGAGTAGTGTGGCAAACCCAGATAGACAATTGATGTTGCCTTCAGGATACTCTCATTCCTATCTGAAACAATACACATTGAAGTTCTTTCACCATATGCTTGCTTGAATTGCTTAAAAAACCACTTCCATGATGCATCGTTTTCCGAATCAACCACAGCATATGCCAAAGGCAATATTGTACCTACATTATTAGTCAAAAAAAAAATTAACTGACAGCTTTGAAAATACATATAAAAACACAAATACATATAAACTGTAATATATCTACAAAGTATCTATAATTTATAAACTGCCTATAAAATAACTACAATTTTACTTGCTGCATCCATTGTGCTTGTTGTAAGCATAATCCCCCTGTAGACTGATTTTAAGAATGTCCCATCAACCGCTACTACTTGTCTACAATATTCCCAATCACTTATTAATGTATAAAGAGCAACAAATGCATATAAGAAGCATTCATCTGCTGTCTTCTTCAATTTAACAACTAAACCAGGATACGTCTTCTCAAGAATATAAAAATATTTTGGTAATTTGTTGTAGGAGTCAGCCGGATGACCTCTCAAAAACTATAAAGCCTTTTCCTTTGCTCTCTATGCTTGCATGTAGCTTAGGTTCACTCTGTGTTGGGACAACATGTCAGTTTGTATATCCTTTGGTGTGTAAACTGTCTTAGGATCACAATACTTTGGAATGATCATGCTACCAACTACAACTGCAGTACATTTGCGCTGTATGAATATATCTTCCATTAAGGTACATGTGTGTTGTCGGTTGAAACTCCTGACCTTGAACATTGCAGGATCATTAATTGATGTTGCCTTGAAGTGCCAATTACAGTTTTCTCCAACGCATATAAGCCAGTAGCTACAAAAAATACATTTATAATACAGGTTATCAATGTAGATGTAACAAAAGGACTGTTTTAACATAAAGTAACACACTATATAATATAACTACTTTTCATCTACAATGTTTGAAAAACACATATCACAAGGAAAATACTGTTTATAATGATCTTTTCACCATTAATATCTTCATACCTTCTGTGTCTCGATCGTTTAACCCTGAATTGGTACTTGTGCATGACAGAATAATGCTTCATTGTAGTTGCAATTGTTTGCTTGTCTTGATACACTTGTCCTTCTTCGATAACACTTTGTGTACCTTCAATTATTATTTCACTTTGATATTCCTCTATGACAGGAGAGGCTGGCATATCAAGTAACTTTATTGTCCCAGACGAACCTGCATAAAAATAAAGATAAATAGTGTCATTACAATTTTGTAGAATCTTTGTAGATAAATTGTAGATGAGAGAAAATTTTGTAGTCAACATTTTTTTCCACATAGATTGTAGTTTAATTGTAGTATAAATGTAGTAATTATGTAGATACCCTTACAAATAATACTACTTTATACATACTTAAACTGATTTGTAGTATATTTGTAGAATTTTTGTAGAAAATTTGTAGATGAAGAGAAAACTTTTGTAGTCAACATTTTTTCAACATAGATTGTAGTTTAATTGTAGTATAAATGTAGTAATTTTGTAGATAATCATGAAAACAATATTGCTTTATACATCCTAAAACCGATGTGTAGTTTATTTGTAGATAAATGTAGGAATTTTATAGATATTACCGTAAAATCAGACTTCCATAGAATTTGAAACATAACAAACCTGCACTTGTGTTCTCATTGGTAATAGTCAATTCCATATTGAAATCTCATACACTTATACATAACGGATACAATCCTAAGTTTTTATTCTCCTTTTTTGTCTCCATATACACACGAACCCCCATATCGTTCCTAATCTCCATTGGAGGACAATTCTCATTCACAATGTATTTGATTTCTACAATTTTTTCCGAAGTATCAACCATTAATTGCTCTGCAATTGTAGAAATCAACTACTGTAACTTGCAACCTCATCGAGCACAATGCCATCAACTTGAAAATCTTTAAATCTGCCATAGCTAACCCAATTTCCATTTAATTGTAGCATGATTGGGATTTTGGACATGATTGCGTATCGTTGCTAAGGTATTGTTCAATATTTTGTCGCTTTTTTGATTTTTTGGATTAAGAAAAAAAGATGAAGAACAGAGTATCAGCAGAATTGATTTCTACAATTTGACTTGAATTTGTTGAATATTTTGTCGCTTTTTTGATCAGTGGATTGAGGAAAAAATCGACGAACTGAGCTTTTGCAGAACTGATTTCTACAATTTGATTCGAATTTGTTGACGATTTTGTCTTTTTTTGATTTGTGGTTTAAGGAAAAATATCGAAGAACAGAGTTTTTGCAGAAAAGAGTCTATGTAATTTGATTTTAAATTGAAGATAAAGGATTTTCGTTTCAAATTTTGATCTGAAGGTCGCTAAATCAATTAGAATATTTTGTTCCTGATTTGTAGCGCGCCTAATTAGTAAGATTCAACTACTAATAATTAGTATTTAATGAATGGTATAATAATTGTAGAAAAAGTGTGAGCATGGCGGGTAAATTAGAAACTATGCACATATTTGGTAATAAAGTTTTATATATGGTATAGGAAGGAAAAAATCCCTATGAAGAAACTAGTGGGCCGGGTTAGCTGGGAATTGGACTGGATCAATCTGGGACCGATAAGGGGAGGAAGGCTGGGCTTTAGAAGGATGTGATTGGAAAAATTGCACTAGCGTCCTATTTGATCGCCCTAATTTAACTTGTACTCATTTTTAAATTCTTTTTAACTTGTACCCACTTTTTAAACAACTTCAAGCCTTTTTCTCTTCTTTCTTCTTCTTATTCTTCGGGTGACAATAATTTTATATGGTGCTTGTGAACATATTTTAAGGTAGTTTATGATATCTTACAGTGTTGAGCTGTTATGGCGCTTTATTTTTACTATTGCTTAGAGTTTCTTCTTCTTCTTTTTCTTAATTGCAAAATGGGTTCGTTTAGATTTATTGTTGTTTTGACAAATTGATGATTGAGGTTTGTTCTTAATGATATTTGGAGGTTACGTTTTAAATTTGAGCTTATTTGGAGTAGATTTAGGTATTAAATCGTATATTGGATTGTTATAATTCGAGAACAAATTTCTGTTTCTGGGCAATTTGCACTTTAGGTCTATTTGGCTTTAAGTGCATGAAAACATTGATTGCATTTCAGGCCTTTTGGCCTTAAGTGGATCTGAAGTGTAATTTTTCACTTCAGACTTATTGGCCTAAGTGTAGGAAAAATGTTTGTTGCACTTCAAACCTTTTGGCCTTAAGTGCATCTGAAGTGCAATTTTTCACTTCAGACTTATTTGATTTAAGTGCATGAAACCATTGGTTGCACTTCAAAACTATTTGGCCTTAAGTGCATTTGAAGTGCAATTTTTTCACTTTAGACTAATTTTTTTTTAACTTCAGATTCAATAAGTCTCAAGCTGATCGTAAAATAGGTAGGCTTGCAATTTTTTTTTTTTTTGCAAAGTGGATATAGGTTCAATTATGACCCCAAAATCGAGTGTAGATGCAAATGCCCCAACGAGGTTCGAGCATTGCTTGGGCCCACAAGACCAGCCCACTAAGGGATCGTATATGTAGGATTGTTTCCCATCGTAATGTATAAACCTTATTTGCTTTCTAACTTTGATGGTGTGGTTGTTACTGTCATTAGTCATGTCCATTTATAAGTAGCTTATTACAAAAATTGGTCAATTCATAAAATATTACTAATATTAATTAAATGTTACCAATATTAGTCAATTAGCTATTTGTAGTAGAAAAAAAATTTAGCTTTCTTTTGAGTGGATGTTATTAGAATATATTAGGTACATCTTAAGGAGTTTGAATCTCAATTTTGGGATGATTTAGTGGAGTTTTGAGGTGATTTGAATTGAAAATTCAAAATAGAAGATAAACATGAAAAAAAATGATATGTGTATCACACAGTACTTCACTTGTGTATCACATATGTATCATATTTGTATCAAATGTATATCACATATGTATCATATTTGTATCAAATGTATATCACATGTATATTCATGTATACCTGATTATGTGATACACGTATCACAGAAGAATTTTTTGAACTCGATTTTAAATACGAATTTTGATACCAAATCAGTCCAAATTACCTCTAATCTTCCTCAAATTTTGTATATTGACTCGTCTATATGTTCTCAATGTATTTTAACCATACCCATTGAAAAAGATCCTTTTTTGCTTAGATTTTTGGAATCTTGTATCTTTTTTTTTTGTATTTCATCACCTTGTTTGCTACCTCATCCCTGAAAATTTCTTTCGGTCTTCCAATGTTGCTGATCACGCTTAAAAATATGAAAGGAGATCTTTCCCGTGTGATTCTTGGAGAGAAAGAACGTTATTTATTTGAGTTTTTAATTTTTATATGTGCTTGGCTAGTTTTGGTAAGTTTATGATTAATGATTAGAGGTTGGTATGTTAGGACTTATTTGGGACACTTGTGAAAGATTTCCTAATATTTATGGTTTTTAATTACAACTAACTGTCACATTATTCCTGCTCGCTCTTGAAATTTGAGCAGACTAATTTTCATGAGATTTCTAAGTCATTAGAGGCATTAACTACTCTTTAGATTTCGTGATCATTTTAACTTCTAATACATGAACCTGTAACTTCCAAACAAAACATATACGACTCAAATCAGCTTGCTTTAGTAATTCTGTATGTTACATTTAACTACTAATATACTCTAACAATATAAAGATTTTTTACAACGTTTAGTGTATGTTAAACCGTTGTAGTAGGTAACATATTTACTTTTCCTGTTACTAATCCCAACTTTTACCATCAAAATTTGTAGTCATCTTTTAGATAACCTGATAGTATACAGATTATTTCACACCGAGTATTCTCTCTTACCCAATGTTATAATGACAATAATAATGAGGCTAATTACACTCAAGCTGAAAATAAAATGGGAAGCTTAGCCCATAAATTATGTACAGCTTACAAGAAGAAGTCTAGTCCAGGGTCCAAAAACAGGATGAATAGGTTGCCTGATTTAGTCCTCAGATCAACACACACAAAAAAATATTTCCCATCATCACATGATGGAGTAATAATCATAAAATAAAAATGATGAAATGAAGTCTCCAAATTATAACCTAAAGTGATTCTCATATTGATCACCTTGCTGCTCCAAATGATTCCAAGTGCGCAAAACGACTTTAACTGTGTATATTTCTCAAAATACAGAATCAAAAAAGGTTTAACTTACCATTCTTTGCTTAGGTCCTCTACTTTTGTGTGCCAAGCTGATGTGAAAATAGTCTAAGTAGACAGAAACTAGTAAAATGTGTTGATGTAAGCTGCTTCAGGATGGTAATGAAGGATTTCTCTCAGCATCATCTCCCGAATCAATGGTTCTGCCATATTCTCATCGATATCCAAATTGAGAGGAAATTGAGCAGGAAGGTTGCAAGTTGGATCATAAAGACTCGATAGGTACGGGTGATAGAGAGCTTCTGTAACTGTTATTCTCTTAGAGGGATCAAAAACCAGCACTCGCTGCAGTAAATCTATTGCTAAAGGATCAGCCTGAGGGAAGAGAGAAGAAAAGTGTGTTCCTCGAGAAAAAGGTAGTGATCTGATGAATCTTTTAGCCCTTTGGTTATCAATGAAATGAAGATCAGCTTCAGGCTGGCTACCAAGGATATTGAGAATAAGTGTAAGCTGATTGAGGCACTCAGTTCCTGGGAAGAGAGGCTTTCGTCCAAGGATTTCCGCAAAGATACATCCAACAGACCAGACGTCAATGGATGTTCCATAATTGTCACAGCAAAGAAGAAGCTCTGGTGCACGATACCAACGAGTGACTACATATTCAGTCATAAACTGNAGCTCTGGTGCACGATACCAACGAGTGACGACATATTCAGTCATAAACTGCCCATTGTCTCTGCTAGTCCTAGCCAGTCCAAAGTCACAAATCTTTAACTCACAGTTAGCGTTCACAAGGAGATTCCCAGGTTTCAAGTCTCGGTGGAGAATGTTAGCTGAATGGAGATACTTCAAGCCACGAAGGAGCTATACAATGACAGGAAAAGTTTTTAGTTAGAAATGCATTAGAACGATGAAGAAAAATATCAAGAAAGGTGCAGTAATAATATCAAGCTTGCTTAATGTAAGCATTAGACTTCTGATACACTGATGATTAGTGCCGGCAAGAGAATAGCAATGTCTCTAGTGACTATGGTACTTTCTTCCAGTCATTCGTTTGGTACAAAGAGAGAAGCTATGAAGACAAGGAAGATCTTTATGTATTTCAGGTTTAGAAAGATTAGAAGTTTTAAAACCAATTTATACTACCTTCACTACATATGATAATTTACCATCTTCCTTTTGCGGAAACTGGAATTGTTTCATTCTATAGCCATGAATGCATGATGCACGGTGTGAACCTCAAAAGATACAGATCCAAGACAAGATCTAGCTTTAAAACAGGGTTCATTTAGCAGAAAATATCACCATAGATGCCATATTTTAAACATCATTTGTCTTCCTAGATTATCTTTTACCTGTACTGAAAAATTAGAACTCAGTTTGAATACTTTCCAGCTTAACTTTATGAAATTATCCTGTAACTTCTCAAAATTCCACAGGGCAAGTGCAAAAGGAGAATAGTTTTCTCAAAAGTAAACATCTATATGACTTCTTAGATTACAATACAAATACGCAAATGTGAATGTTTTAT